GACAGTGCTCAATGGTACTCAGGAGTCACTCCTGGCAGTGCTCAGGGGACCATGTTGGATGCAAGGCCAGTGCCCTCCCGCTGGACCATGGCTCAGGCCCCTGACCTGCACTTGAAAGCCATCCTCGGCGTCTCTGCAGCCTGAGCATGGGGAGCAAGAGGACAGGGGGCACCCAGGGACCTCCAGCCCGCAGGACAAACCGGGACAGTAGCTGTGAGCTGGAGTCGCTGAGCTGGGTGGACAGTGTGACCTCGACCGGCGGGGTCTGGAGGGCTCTGGGCACCCAGCCAGCCACGGGCCCAGCCTCTCATCAGCTCCTGCCCCAGCTCACACTGCAGGGGCTTATTCTGGGGCAGGTGGCAGCTGGGCCAAACCCGCTCCCCAGCCAGAGCGCCCCACTCCACAAGGGCAGAGAGGAGAGAGGGCATTGGGCAGAACCTTGGATGCACCGAGGGTCCAAGCACTGGGCCTCTGGTGCTTGGCTGACCACGCGTGAGTGTTTCTTTGGGGCGACTTCTCCTGACGCTCAGGAGGCCACACCAAGAAATTCTCAGCACACGAGGCCCAGGGCCAGCACTTCGCCCCCGAGGGCCGCACCCCAAGGCCAGAGCCCCAGGTGCGGGGATGGAGCCAAGCAGGCTGGGTCAGCACCTCCTGTCCTCTCTGCATGTGGGCCTGCCCTGACTCGCCTCCAGCTCTCGTCCACCCCCCACGGCCTGCACGGGGATGCAGGAGCAGCCTCCATCCACTCCCGGCCAGGCCCTGCTGCATGGTGTCACCTCAGCATCAGGCAGCCCGGCTCGAACCTGAGGCCGGAAGCTCCAGCACACCCCCAGCTGGAGAAGTGCCCGCCCACCTGCCCTGTGCCAGCCGGCATGTGGGTATCCAGCATGTGACCCGAGCCGGAAGCGCCCAGAGATATGGGCTGCGGGGGTCACCCGGGACCCCAGGCTATGGGTGCCCCAGGCCAGTGTGGGCTGAGAGGTGGGAGGCAGCACCACAGGCCTGGGGGGCCTTTCCCTTCAGACCGGTAGGTGGGGCTCTGTGGGTGCTCGGGCACTGTAGGGAGTAACCCCACGGGTGTAGGGGCGTGGGCACCCACCCTGTCTTCCTGCTTCTGCAGCCAGGGCCCCAAGTCTGGTCCTGGGGGCCCCCAGTGTGGGTGTGACCGTTCTCTGTGTCCACTCAGGGTCAACACGGGGGTCTCGGGGAGCCTCCTGGCTGAAAACCCCTCGAGGGAACAGTGGGGGAGGGTAGGCAGGGGGCTCCAGGCTGACAAGCACGTTCAGGGGTCTCCCAATCCCTGACCAGAGAGGGGTTGAGGCCATGAGCCGGGGGTGGGAGGGGCTGGGCTGAGAGGAGGCAGACCCTAGAGGTGGGACCGACCACGCAGAGTGACCCAGCATCTCACCTTCCGGGCACCTTTGAGGTCTCCTGTGAGCCTGGAAATAAGCTCACAGTGGTTGGTGGAGGACTCCTGTGAAAGTGCTCTGTGAGCACACACTGCTGACCGAGTGGCGCGCTGGCACCAAAGCCGAAAATAGGTGGGGGTCAAGGTGGTGAGTGTCTTGGGGGGTGGGAGGGATACTAGGATTAGTGGTGGTGGAGAATGGGCACTGGTGGAGGGATGGGCACTCGATCATTGCGTAACTGAAACCCAAGCACAAAAATTTGTAAGTCTACAAATGTACCTCATGGTGTTTCACTAATAAAAATTTTAAAAAAATAAAAGGTGGTGAGTGTCTCAACTGTCGTCAGTGACATGTGGGAACATGCACCACACTGTCCCACAGCTCTACAGGTGACCAAACATGCGGGCTGGGGTCAGGGTGGTGCTCTGCTCCCAGAAGCCGGCCGTGCCCCACTGGCTCCCCTACTCTGTGCTGCTCTGGGGAGCCTCTCGGCAGGCCCCCTCCCGCCCCAGTTGCCCCATTTCCACGGCCTCCCTGAGCGCGTACCCTCCAAGCCCCACTGGATTCCCAAGCGTCCACTTCCTCTTCCTGGGTCTCAGACTCTCCTGGTGCCTGGGGCCAAGCCCCAGCAGGGGTCCTGGGCGGGGAGCAAACAGGCTTTGGCCCTTGCCGACAAGGGGTTTTGCCGACACAAAGAATTCACTGCCTGGAGTGTGCTGGATCTGAGGCAGAAACCAGGGTCTGAGGTGCTTGTGGTGGTCTGGAGAGCCCTGAGCGGAGGCTCCAGCTTTAGTGGGACAGGGGACACAGCCATTGTCTGGAACACCAGATTCCCAGGGTGTGTGCAGAGCTGGCAGACAGAAGTGGTTCTGGGCTAGGAGGTGGGGCGGGGCCTCTCCCACACCCTTCCGTCCCCCTCAGCGCACAGGGCCTGGTCAGAGCCTGAGAACTTCCTACAGGGTCTGCCCGGCCGGCCACGCTCCACAGAGGTGGTGCCAGGGCCCACAGGCCCCGTGTCCTGCCTGCAATGTTCCTTGTGATTCAGCCACAGTCACTGGTCACAGCTGTGCCAGATGTGCTCATCTGCTGCCCTGGGGAGGGCTCAGCTGCCTCTAGGGCCCCTCCTCGCCAGCTGTGCTCAGGGCGGTGGTGAGGGCCCAGTCCCCACCCCCGAGCCCCTGCGTGATTTTCTGTCCTTGGGAACAGCCATCCTGCCGTGGGCTGAGACCCTCACCCTCCCAGCCTCAGGGTCACTGAGCGCCTTCACTTACGCCTAGGGGAGACGTGGGGGAGAGCAGGGGTGCATTTGCTGGTGGATTATGCGCCGCATGGCTTCCGCGTTCCCGACATCCACAAGTGTGTGCTCATGTGTGTCGCTGCACCGGCCCACAAGCCACCCGCTGAGGCAGCACCGCAGCGTCAGGAGTCTTATCTTTCTCGGCTGAGCAGCCGCGCCACTCTCCTGTTAGGGCCGAGAGTCCCCAAGGAGGCTGGACACACGTGTCTGCCGAGTCTCAGGGCCGCCGTCACCGAGCACGAGGACCCGAGCCCAGGCATCATCCAAGACGGTCCTTCTCAAACTCTGCCGGCTGCTCCCCCTGCCTTTCCCGCGAGCGCCCGCACGCGGGCATAGGACAGAAGCTGGTGGTAGAACTTTTGTCCCTGGCAGCTAGAAAGAGCCATTTGTGACAGCTCCTTCGTCTGGACCCGGATTTCCTGGGCAGCCTGTCCCTGTGACGTCAGTGGGCCCCAGGGGTAGCTCATATGGAGTTTGGAGGAGAGAGACGGTCACTTTCCCAATCCACCTCTGCCACCGGGGACCCAGGGTTACTGGATTCTTGTCTCGCCTCTGCAGAAAAGAAATTTCAGGAGTAGACAAGCAGTGAAGTAAATCGATTTTATTGGTAGGGTTCTTGAGAGAGAGAGAGAGAGAGAGAGAGAGAGAGAGAGAGAGAGAGAGAGAGAGAGGCACGTGGGCTTCTCCAAGGATGGAGAGAGCCCCTAGAAACATCCCAGCATTATTGATTTTTTTTTCTTTTTGGGTCACACCTAGCAATGCACTGGGGTTACTCCTGGCTCTGCATTCAGGAATTACTCCTGGCGGTGCTCAGGGGACCACATGGGATGCTGGGAATCAAACTTGGGTCGGCCGCATGCAAGGCAAAAGCCCTACCCGCTGTGCTATCGCTCCAGCCCCCGAAACATCCCAGCATTAGACATGAAAGCATGAAAGTCCACATCTCAAGAGGGAAGATGTAGGTGACATGTGCTCGGCCACGTGGGCGAAAGAAGCACATGGGTTCAGGAAGCATCTGCATGCCCTTCCTTTGTTCAAGGTGGCTTTTATAGGTTCTTCTCGGGTTGTCTTGATCCGGAATGTTCTGGAGCAGGCCTTCCTTTCTGGACCCCACGCCCGGCGGTCTCACCTGCCCTTCCCACGGCTTAGGAAGCGTAAAGAGACCCCAACCTCGGCATTCCTCTTCCTGTCTGGCTCCTGGGAGCCCCAAGAGTCTGTGAGAATTTAAGGTGCATTTATTTGTGCGTTGCTGAAAACGGTGCCTTGGGGTTTTGAGGGAAATGTCTGAGTCCTTCATCCCGCGGGAGACCTTGTCTTCTCCTTGGACCCAGAGCCAGAACAGCAGGAGGCACTTTCCTGGCACACAATGGACCAAATATGGTCTCCCCAGCCCACCGAGGCTGAGCCCTGAGCACTGAGGTTCTGGCCCCAAGACAAACAGGAAGAGACTTTGCCTTCCTCAGGGCTGAAAGTCTCCTTGTGATTGTGGGGCGGGTATATCACTCGGTTCCCTCCTTCCCTGAGGGGCACAGGTTTCAGTGACTTTCCCTCTGCTGTGTGAAGGCAGAACACTTCCCCCCCTAGCTGGCCGGCCTTCCTGGGAGCCTATCGGGGAGCCGGGCGCAGCCCCCGCCTCCCACCAAGTGCCGTGCTGGGATGCAGGTGTGAAGGTTATTTCTGCTTCTTTTAAGTGAAAGTGTTTGTGGGCGAGGACTGGAGAGCGCACAGATCTGGGTCACTCTTTCCGAGCCTGGATGGCGGGCAGCTCGGAGCAGGGGGTGGGGCAGCTTGTCTGTGCCACCTCTAGCGGGTGGGCGGGGGTGGGGGTGGGGTGGGGGGTGGGGGGGGGGCGGGGAGGTCTCGGCATTTGGTCGAGCCTTTGCTCCCTCTGCTCCTGGCTCTGGGAATCATCAGGCCTGAGGCACTGACCCAGAGCCCCTCTCTCCATTCCAGGGTCGCCTGGGGGCATGTGTCCCCAGCCCCCCCCCCCAGCACGTTTCTGTGGGCTAGCGGGAACTGGGGAATCAAAGCCCCCCTTTCCAAGCCCACCTGCTCCCCCCTCCTTGCCCCCCAGAGGGCTCCAGACAAAGCCCCTCCCCCCATCCTCTTCCTTCCCCTCCCCTAACCACTGACCTTGCCCACCGGGAGAAGGTCCTCTCCCACCGGGAGAAGGTCCTCTCCATCCTGCTGTCCCCCGGGGTGGGCCCTGGAGGACCACCCAAGCGAGCAGGCCCCACCTCTTCTGCTGAGTGGGCGGGGCTGGTGCGGAGGATGGGGGCTGAGGCCCAGTGATGGCCGGGGACAGCGCGGCCATGCAGCAGCTGGTCCCGGCGCTGGGCGCTCTGCTGCTGGCGGCCGAGGTGGCCACGGGCGCCAACCTGAGCTGCTACCAGTGCTTCAACGCGACGGAGCGGGAGCTGTGTGTGCCGGCCCAGTGCAGGCCTGAGGACACCGTCTGCTTCTCGCTCATCGTCCTCATCCGGACCTGTGAGTCGTGCCCACCTGTTCCAGGGCGGGCCCACCGCCCCCCCCCCCCCCACCGATGTGCTTGATGTCAGGGGCTGCTGCAGGTGGAAATGAGTGCAGGTTTCTGCTTCGGTTTCCCGTGGTCTGGGTGGGGGCCCAAAGCCAGCGGTACAGGGAATCACTCCTGTGTGGAGGAGGGGGGCGTCCTGCTATGTGAGAGCCAAAGCTTGCAGGGGACGAGCCTTATGTCGGGGGGGAATGTGCCAGAAGCTCTGCTCCCTGAGGGTGGCCTGGCACGACCCCCAGCTGCCCAGAGCAAGGGAGCCAGCGGCTTGGGGCCTGCCTGCAGAGACCCAGAGGGGCCCGGAGTGCCCGTGTGGGCTCCTCCGCCCGCACTCACGCCAGCCTGCTGCCCCGGCACTCTGAGTGTCCGGCAGACTCTGTCCCCAGGCAGCACGCCCCCCCCACCCAGACCCCACAACTGGAGCTCTCCTTCCCAGTCCTCCACCCCCGGGACAGCCCAGGGCTCAAGCCCCCCCCCCCCGCACCCACTGCCCCATGACCCCACTCCCAGCAGACCCGCAGTGGCAGCCCAGTGTGAAACGAAGAAGGGAGCGTGACGTGCCGGCAGCCAGCCGGAACAGGGCCCAGGGCGAGGTAGAAAGCCAGCAGGAAACGGGCAGGCCTGCCTGAGGCGGGGAGGGGGTCAGCGGCACCACCTGGTCTCTCCGTGCCCACCTGCCCCTTTCATGCCATCGGCCTCAGGGCATAGTCCAGGTCCAGGCTGGTCCTGGCCAGCCCCCCTGAGCTGGGAGGCTGGGCCCTGTGTTTGGTCCCCCTGGGCAGCACAACACCTTCTGCAGGGGGAGGCGAGAGGACGTTCAGGGCTCCCCGCGGGCCAGCTCTGGCTCTGGGCCTCTCTTCCCAGCCCTCACTGCCTGTGGGAGGGACCCAGCCCTGCGCCCTGGGGAGCCCCAGATGGCACCGGCTTCACTTCCTCTCTCCCACAGTTCAGAGTAAGACACTCTTGCTCAGCAAGGCCTGCGCACCCAAGTGCACCACCAGCATCTCCAGCAAGTACCACTGGGCCATCGAGCACTTTACCACCACCACCGTCTTCCGTCAGTGCTGCTCCTGGAGCCTGTGCAACCGTGTGTCCCCCGCAGGGCGCCAGGCCTGGGCTCCGCACCCACTGCTGCTGGCCCTGGGCTTCGGGCTCCGCTGGCCACTGCTGTGATACCTTCACTCTCTGCGGCTCCAAGCCCATCTCAGGCTCTTGTCCTCACCACACCCACCCAGGACGATGGTGTCCCAGGATGGTCCCTGTACGCTGGTTGCCTCGCAGGAACCCGGCCCGCGCCCAAGGTGCGGAGCGGTGCTGAGGCACCAGCAGGCTCGCTGGCCACAGGCTAAGGCCCGGAGGAAGACGGCTGGCACAAATAAGCCCCATCTCGGGTGAGGGTGTCGCGACAGACAGGCCAGGGCCAGCCTTGGGGCCCAGAGCAGCTGAGCCGCCCTGAGCATCAGGACTGTCACCTACACCTGCACACGGGCCCCTGGCCGTCACCACTGTCAGAGCCGAGAATGCTCCCCCTCTTCTTGCTTCTGCTCACCCCACCAGCGCTCAGGGACCGGACAGATAGGGACCCCTGTCCCCCCTCCCCACCCCATCCCCGCCATGGCTTGGGAAAGTAATAAAATGAACTGCAAACTAGCCTTAAGCTGCTGAAAGCCTTTTCCTGCCAAGACCCACTTTGTGGACATAGGGACATAAGACCACTAAAGACCAGATAAGACCTTTACCTGGTGCCAGAGCAGACCAGAGAGGCTAGATCCCCCACCCCCCCTGAGAGAAGCCCGAGCAGGAACAAAGGCCAGGGATTAGTCCCGGCTCTGCACTCAGAAATTACTCCTGGCAAGGCTTGAGACCAGATGGGATGTCAGGGATTGAACCCGGGTTGGCCGCGTGTAAGGCAAACGCCCTCCCTGCTGTGCTATTGCTCCAGCCTGGATAAGGATGTCAAATGAGACATCAGCTGCTCCCAACTCTGCCCTGGACAGAACCTGGTAGGTAGAAGCCCCTTGTGGGGCAGTTTGAAGAAGCCCTAGAAACACCACCTTGCACAAAAAAGCGCACGCATGGCGCATGTGCTGTTGTGCCGTGTGCCGCCCGCATCTCCTCTCTTAGCTGTGCACAGTCAAATCCCACGCTGGGATGCACCAGTTCCCTCTCCACGCTGGAGAAACCTGCGTTCTCCCTAGAGCAACTTTCTCTGCTCTCTCCCTCCCTCTCTCCCTCTCTCTCCACCTCAGAACTTTCAAATGAATTTTTTTCCTTCACTGCTCCTCTCCTGAAATTCTTTTCTGAGGCAAAGAGGATGGACCCAGAGGGCCTGTGGAAGGCCCAGGAAACTTTCCTGCATGGAGCATGGCTCCCAGCTGACTGCTCCCAGCCCCAGGTGCCAGGGGGGCAGAGGTGGGGAGAGAGAGAGAGAGAGAGAGAGAGAGAGAGAGAGAGAGAGAGAGAGAGAACGGGACAGGCCCCAGAAGTCACCCCAGTGACACCTGCCTCACTGTTTTCAAATCTGAAGTCATTTCCCTGCAGTTTGGATGAGCTGAGGTGGGCGTCCCCAGCAGCCACCAGGTGGTTTGTTTCTCGTTCACCTGTTCTCGGCACTTCTGGGACATCTCAGATTGTTGCCGGGGGAGATCCCTGGTGACATGGGCGACGAGAGAGGAAATCTAACACCCTGGGGCTGGAGATAGGGCAGGGCAGGGCTGGCCACCTGCTGCTCTCTCCGGCTCCCAACCTGTCACCCAGACTAACAGGGTCTGCTGTGAGCCCTGCATGGCATGGGGTTCGCATCCCACCAGCCCCCAAGCAGCTGTCACACCCCGCCCGGACCCCCTTGTTCTGCCCGGTGTGGGGGATGATCCCTACCACGCCAGTTCGGGTGAAGCCTGGGCTTAGAGTGGAGGGAGGACTCGCTCTTGGCAGGAAAGGGCCACTCACGGCCTCTCAGGAAAGAACTTCAGGAGGACACAACAGTGAAGTGGAACAGCTTCCTGGGAGACAGAGGGGCTGAGGAGAGAGGTGGGGCAAGACAGGTGTGTGTGGGGGAAACACGGGGAGGGGAGGGGTCACTGGGAGGGGAGGGAGCACAGCCTCCCAGCATGGAGGGGCCGGTGCACGCTGGGCGCTGCAGTGGACAGGGCGGCCATACCCATCTCGGGAGGGCGGATGTGGGGGCTCCTCCAGGGCAGCTCCTGTGCCCCCTTTTCTTCACGCTGCCTTTGTATAGCTTCTCCTAAGCCGCCCCCCCCCCCCCCCCCCCCGCCCACACACACACCAGTTCATTGCTAGGCTGATTGAAAAGGGGAAGTTTGGGGCAGTCGATGGCATTTTTTGTTTCAATTTATTAGGGGGCCACACCCAGTGGTGCTCAGGGCTTTCTCCTGGTTCTGAACTCAGGGATCACCTACAGGGTGCCAGGGATGGAACCTAGTCAGTGTGCAAGGTAAGTGCCCGGGTAGGTGACCCCAGGACGATCTTCAGATACTCTCCCCAGCTCTGCTTCAGCGGGGAGCCTCTCCTCGGGTGTCCACTCTCTCCTCGGGCATCAACCCCTCTCCTCGAGTGTTCACCCCCTCTCCATGGCGTCCACCCCTCTCCCTGGGCATCCACCCCCCTCTCCTCCCGCACCCTCCTCCTGGCCCCTCCCCCCGGCCTCCTGCACTGTCCTGGAACCCTGCATCTCGATAGCTTTCTAGGCTCCAGAGAAGGGTCCTTCGGGTCACAGAGTTGTGACACGTGTTTGACTAATGAAGCACACGGAGACCATCCCTGGGGGGGATCCAGGGGTCCTTATCACAGCAGCTGATCAGAGCGGTGGGTCCAGGCTCAGCGAGCCCCTGAAAACTTCAACAATGTCAGGCGTCCAAGAGCCTGTTTTTCAGGCACTGCTGCACTTAGCATCACTCTACTTCCTGTCAAGCGGTGCAGGGGTGCCTGGTCACCATGGCTACTGGGAGTTTCCTAAAATCAGCATTTTTTAAACTTGAAATAGGGAAGTTTATCTTAGATGTACACAAGGTGGACATCTTTCAAAACTTTCCAACCAAAAATCATCTCTTTAGAGTACATGCTATAAGTCAAGTATAAAACCAAAACTACAGATAATGAATTTCCACCATAACCAAAGGCTTCCATGCCTTCGGTTGGATCAGTCTCTTCTCCCCAAGGCACCTGTTCCCAGGGCCCCCCCGACTGCAACAGGATGATGCCTTTTCAAACTCTGTTCACTGGGCTACAGAAATGGGCACTTGCTTTGCTCCCAGGTGACTGGCTTCCATCCCCAGTCATCCGGGTGGAACCCGAGCCCAGAGCACAGAGCCAGGAGTAAGCCCTGAGCATCTCTGGGTGTGACCCCCAAACAAAACAAATTAAAACAAAAAATGAGCCCTGCAATTTCACGCTTCGTTGTAAACTACTGATTTCTCAGTGGTTACAGTACCGTATCGATTTGGAGGTACAGATGCTCCCACTATTTTTAATACTTCTCTCTCATTTCCTTTGTCTTTGTCTATAAATGACCCCACTCAGAAGTTGGTAGAATTTTTCTCTAAAGGGCCAAATAGCACAGCGGGTAGGGCGTTTGCCTTGCACACGGCCGACCCGGGTTCGATTCCCAATTCCCAGCATCTCATATGGTCCCCTGAGCACCACCAGGAGTAACTCCTGAGTGCAGAGCCAGGAGTAACCCCTGTGCATCGCCAGGTGTGACCCAAAAAGCAAAAAATAAATAAATAAATAAATAAATAAGAGAATGAAGAGATGAGCCACACAACAAGTAATGACAATGCCAGGACAGGTGGCAGAAATGAGAAAAATCAGTGAGGCCTCAGGTTCAGTTCCTGGAACTGAAACAGTTTTGGTTTTCCAGAAATGAAATGATGTGAAACTAGCCAACCAGGACCCCACTTAAGAAGTCCTTGGCCCACAGGTGGGCTCCATCACTCACCATGTGTGGATCAGCAATGACTAGTGCCAGAAATTGTCTTTTGTTAACCACCAAGAATGAGTAACTTGAGGCCGGAGCAATAGTACAGCGGGTAGGGCATTTGCCCTGCGCACAGCTGACTCGGTATCCCATATGGTCCCCTGAGCACTTGACAGGAGTGATAACTGAGTGCAGAGTCAGGAGTAACTCCTGAGCATCGCTGGGTGTGACCCAAAAAGCTAAAAAAAGAAAAAAGAAAAGAATGAGTAGCTTATGTAACCTTCTGCTGTATAATGCCCTCTGAAACTAGAGTTGGGGCCCTTGTCTTGAGCCACTGAGTCGGTGTGGACTTGGACCCTAGCTCGAGCTAGTAACAAAATCCCTTGCTTTTGCATTCCAAGAGTGGCCCCTCTTCCTTGGTCTGAGACCCGGTATAACGTTTGGTATAACAGTAAGTGTCCAGGCTCACTGGCCAAGGCAAAACTTCCCCTTCTATAACGGGGGGCCGGCTGGGGGTCAGCCTGCCTGCGGCTGTGCCTTGTGGATCTTCTTGGAATCCACAAATCCTGGCACCTTCCTCTGGGGTTTATGATGCTGGATTGGACAACCTCCGTCTACGTGGGGATGACAGGTGACAAGACTCCTCACGGCGCGCCCCACGGATAGCTGAAGGTCGCGGCAGCTCCCACCAGTGGTCAGCACAGCCTCGTCACCTCCTGCCCAAGTCTGAGCCATGGCTCACTTGGTCCACACCAACGAGCCTCCTTCCCCGAGGGCCCCTCTGTGCCCGGCGTGTCTGAGTCATTGCACATCTCCTCTGCAGCCTTATTAGGAGCCCGTCACGCTGTCTGGCCGATGGGCCTCGGGCTCCCGATGTGGTCTAGGGCCTTCAGCCAGCTCTGGGCTAGGCCTTCCTGCGTCACAGAGCGAGCCCCTCCCTCCCCTTCCCTCACACCCCAGGAGGCTGGTGAGGTCCCTTGGGCATCCCTGCGCACCCCAGCCTGGTGTCATACAGACAGTTGTTTTGTCATATGACCCAGTCGGCTGAGCTGGCAGAGTGGGGAGGCCCAGTCACCTCTCACTTGTCCCCAGGGCCGGGCTGCTCTTCGGGGGGGGGGGGGCTTTGAGGAAACGGGGAGGTGACCTGGAGGCGTCCACAGCTTCGGGAGCTGCTCTCAACCTCCGCTGCCCAGAGGAGCTCCAGAGCTGGGCTGTGGACAGGCCCTGGGTTCCAGTCCAGTAGGGAAACGTCCCTGGGCATGGACCTGCTATTCCCGAGCAGGGCACCAGGGGGCACTCCTGCCCTGGCGCTGCCGGCACACACCTGGCTCCTCTGGTGGGTGCGACCTCCGTTCCAGGCCCGGTCGCCAGTGTGCCCCCGCATGCCCAGGCTCCACCCGCTTGACTCGTGAGGGTCCAAGACGACCTGCAGGCTTTGCCCTGAGCTGGCACCTGGTGCTGCCCCACACTCCCAACCCCACAGGACTAGGGCCTGGGGTGCTGGTGCTGGTGCCTGCGGCGGGCATGAGTGCCAGGGGGCCGTGGGCCCTATCAGGAGACACGACGACACGTGTACAGTCATGTATGTGCACACAACACACGTGCACACACGGAGACTAAAATGTGCACACCACGTTTATACACACACCACACACACACTTCAGACAGACCACACATACGTACAGCCCCACTCATGTACAGACCACACCTCCATGCACATTCACACATACCTCACTCAAACCACACACACACACACGCACGCACACGCCCACACAGCACATTCCCTTGTGCATGCCATGTGCATGTATGTAGCACGCACACACAGGCATGTGCACAATGTTGCACTGTAGACCAAGTGCCAAAATAAGCACGGAGGAGGGTGGACGCAGACGTGGAACATTAGCAGCACGGTGGCAGTGGAATGTTCTAGAGCACAGGGGAGTGTCAGTCACCTTTGCTAAGTGCCTGTGGGCTTAGCTTGCCTCTCAGAGACAGGCGGTTTACTCTGCACCACTAGAGAATAGCTGTGTGTTGGGGAAGAGAACTTTTAAAATGGCAACGAGGGGGAGAGCGGGAGGGCAGTAGGGAGGGTGCTGGCCTTGCACGCGGCAGACACCCAGCACCCCACAGGGTCCTTAAGCACCTTCAGGAATGGCCCCTGAGCACAGAGACAGGAGTCAGCCATGAGCAACGCAGAGTGTGGCCCCCAGACAATAACTCATTGCACTGTGACCCAGAACTGACAGAGCCAGGAGCGTCTCGAGGGAGAGGGAGGCAGATGCGGCACAGGCCCAAGTTCCAACCTTGACACCACAGCCCCCCACAAAGCCAGTGCAGTGTGGAGGCTGTGAGCGGGGGTCTGGGGGTGGGGTAGCAGCACCTCCCAGTCTGGTGGCTGGGCGTCACGGGGAGGGGCCCACTTAGGGGCCCCTGTGCAGAAAATAAAGAATAGAGGCAGGGAAGGTGTCCACAGGCACTAGACACGACCAAGGGACAGGCCTGCAAAAAAGTCACAGCCCACAGGCAGCTGGGACTGTCGGCACCAAGTGACACAGTGACTTCTGCGGGGTGAAGCCCAGGCAAGGAGGAGCCGAGCCCAGGAGCACCAAGCGGGGAGCCTGGGACAGGATGGGAAGAGCACAGCTGGGGGGAACACATCCAGGGGAGAGCACAGGCCAAGGGCAGCACGGTCAGGGGGAGCACGGGTCAGGGGGAGCACATCCAGAAGAGAGCACGGGTCAGGGGGAGCACGCATCAGGGGCACTGTGGTCAGGGGACTCGGGTCAGGGGTCGTGGGCATGAGAGCTCCGGCTGGAGAGACGGCAGGTGGCCGCAACCATCACAAGCATCTTCTGCCCTCCTGGGGCTTGAGGAGAGCAATGTGGGGTGTCCGGACCCCTGCTCCCGGCCCCGGTGCCCCAGCAGGACCCTCACTGCCGCGGCCAGGGCCACCCAGTTCTTCACCTTCCGCAAGCCCCTAAGGTCCAGCTGCATGAGCAGACGGGGACAGGCACCCTGAGGCTCAGCAGGCCCTCCTGAGGCCTTGGGGGGTGGCCTGGCTGGGGACAGGCAGAGCCCCGAGATACCATAAGGGTCACACTGGAGTCCATGATGACCAAGTTTAGTGTCCATAGCCCCCGTGACCCCCGCTCACAGCCGTTTGGCTCCCAGGGCCCAGCCCCCAGCATCTCAGGCACTCGCTCCCTGGCCCCTGCAGCTTGGGCCGCATCCCGGCACTGCCTCTACCCCAAAGTGAGCGGGCCGGGGTCACTGCACCCTCCAGGCCCCACCCCTGCACACACACCTGGCTGCCGCCTGGCTCCGGAGAGCTGCCGAGGCCTGAGCCGCAGCGTCTGTGCCCACGGAGCTGTGAGCCCCGACAGCAGACCCAGCCCAGGTGACAGAACAGCACAGCATGCTGAGGGACCCAGTGGCCATTGGGGAAGAATCTTCTGGAATGCTGCGGCCTTGCTCTGCATTCTTGCAGCCTCCACCACTCCCACCTTACCCAGGTCGTGGGGGTGTCGGGGGTCCTGCCCACACAGCCCCCGCTCAGAGCTTCCCTCCCCAGGCCCTGCCCCCGGGGGAGGGGAGCTGCACAGCCCACCTGCTGCAAACAGGAAGCGGCTCTGCCCTTTGCCCTCAGGGGCGGGATTTCAGCTGCCCCTCCTCAGAACAGGGACAAGGCTCACCCCAGCCCTCCCGGGCAACTGCGTGACTTGTCCACGGCAGCCCCCCTCGGAGGCAAGGAGCGGATGGCCAGTCCCCGCCCGGAGCTGCAGATGGCCAGGTAGGGCCGCAGCGCCAGGCTCCACAGACCAGAGGACATCCGAGGCCGGCAAGAAAGGGCTGCGTGGCAGAGGCTTGTCCCACTCGCCCACCACGTCCCAGCCATGGGGCACAGCGCAGGCCCCCAGCCTGCCTCAGACCCTGCTGCCAGTGGCGTTCCTCTCTCCCGTCCCTGCCCACAGGCCCAGGGGTGGCGGCAGAGCGGCCGTGTGGTCCCCAGGGACCCCTCCTCTCTCCAGCACCGTGAGCCTCTGGGACGCAACCCAGGGCCAGCTCTGAGCAGACCAGCACCCTTGCAGGAGACCCTGGATGAGGAAGAACCTAGGGAAGGCCTGGGGAGCCCTAAGCACCCGGCCCAGGACGAGCCTCGGCCAGTGCCTGAGAGGCAGGACACAGAGGAAGATTCACCGAATCGCCCGCCTCCTCCCAGTGGCCCACAGCTGCCAGGACCCGCTGCCCAGAGGCCAACCCCCCTCCCCCAGGATGGTGACAGGGAGGAGATCCCCATGGGCGTGTCTGGGGCCCAGGAGCATGGGAGTGGTCCGTGTGAGGGGGCACTGGGTGCGCCTGGCTGGAGGCACCCGCAGGCGTGTACCCACCAGGCCTGTGCATGTGTGCAGTTGGGTGCATTTGCATGTGCGTGTGTGCACCCACCAGGCCTCTGTGTCCGTCTGTGCGTATCTGGCCCCACTCCTTCAGTTCTCCTTCCAGCTGGACAGGTCCCGGCCCCGCCCTTCCCACAGGCTCAGACCTGGTCTGGGAACCCAAAGTGACTTTATTTCTCCTTAGCAGGCGCCCTCCACCCGGCCCGGCGGGTTTCCCCTCCCTGCCCCCACCCTCTTCCCCAAGCCTCTGGGGAGAGCCACGGGGGGCCTGCGTAGGGACGAAGTTGGGCAGGGCCGCCAGCAGGGGAGGGGGCTGCTCCAGGCTGGGGGTCAGGGGCCAGCCCAGAGCAGGGCGGGCCCCAGGGCCAGCAGCAGCGCGGCGGCCAGGCCCGCCAGGCCGCCCCGCGCCCGCACCCCCCGGTTGCACAGATCCGTCTCGCAGCAGTCCACGTCCACCTTCAGCACGCCCGAGTTGATGAAGCCCATCAGGTAGTCAGAGAAAAAGTGGCGCTTGACGAAGTCGCAGGACGAGGCGCACATCTTGTTCACCGAGTGGTCCTTCCGGCCTGCGGACGGGCCAGTGCTGCAGCCCCGAGCAGGGACCCCCGGACCGCAGGGCAAGGCCGCTGCCCACCCGGCCCCCACGGGAAGGACCCGCGCACTCACTGCTGCTGGGGTCGGCGATGCGCACGCTGGCGCACACCGTGTCCGACGGCAGGCAGGGCTTGGGCGTGCAGTGGCTGGAGTTGGTGGTCAGCGTGCAGTCCTGGCACCACAGGCCCTGAGCTGCGGGGGTAGCGGGACGTGAGGGCTGCAGGGCCCGCAGCCCGCAGCCCCCCAGCCGCGCCACGCGCCCACCCCCGCCCCCCGCCGGCCAGGGCTGCGGGCAGGACCCTGGGGACAGGGGGCTGGGCACGGGAGGCGGTCAGTGAGAGCCAGGCCAGGGTGGGATGGGGCCGGGGCCCTCGCGAAGGGGGGAGGAGGCAGAGAGGGGAGGGTGACACCCACAGCCCCGCGCCCCGGACTCACCGGGCGCCGAGCACAGCAGGGCGAGCACCACCAGGCAGAGGCCCTGCATGGCGCCGGCAGCGGCAGCTCCGGGTTGGGGGGCGCGGGCTGTGCGCGGGGGTCCGGGGGCGCGGCCTGGCACGGAGCGCGAGGTCAGCGGGCGCCCCCAAGGCCCGCGCACGCCCCCGGGGGAGGCCGGCCCGCACCTGGGGGCGGGAGCGCGGCGCGTGCTCGTCCCCCCGCCCCCCCGCCCGCGCTCACCGGGGGCGCCCACACCCGGGGGCCAGCGGGGGCCCGCACGACCTCGCCTTTCGCCTTTCGGGGGACACAGCCAGCCGCAGACCCGGACCCCGCGAGGGCGGAGCGGGGCGGGGCGGGGCGCGCGGGGTCGGGGGGCCCGGCACCGCCCCCGTCCCCAGCCCGCGCCCGCACCCCCGCCCCGCACCCCGCGCCCCGCGCCCCCTCGGCCCGGCCCGAACCCCCGCCCCGCGCCCCACACCCCGCGCCCCGCACCTCCGTGTCCCGCGGCCCCGCCCCGCGCCCCCTACCCCCTCGGCCCGGCCCCGCGCCCGCCTCCCCCTACCCGGGCGTGGGCCGGAGGGTCCCTTCCCCCTCCGCTCGGCCCCGGTCCCCTCGGAATTTCTCGGAAGGTGATGGAGAAAGGAAGCGCCGCGCACAAAGACGCAGGCGGGGCGCGCGCGGGGCGGGGCGGGCGCAGGCCCTGGTGCCCACCCCGCGGGCGCCGCCCCCGCGCGCCTTCCCGCGCCGCGACCCCCGGCGCACGCTCCCCGCACCCCGGGGGCCGCCAGCCCACCCGGCCCGCGGAGCTCAGGGCGCGGGGTTCCGGCGCCCGCGCCTCCACCGCCCACCTGCCACCTGCCTCCCCGGGCGGGGACCGGCCGGCTGGGCCCCCGCACTCGGCCCTGCCACGCGCGGAACGCTGAAGTCTCAGCCCCGGGCTGCGTTCAGCCTGGCGGCATCGAGGGACGCCCAAGTCCGCTGTCCCCACCCTTGGCAACGCCTCTTCTGCAGTCCCGCCGCCACCTGCGCCCAGCGCCCACCGGGAGAGGGCCGCGCACCTGTGCCAGTACACGCAGGACCCTCGCAGCGCGGGTCAGCGGCCGCCGGGAGGTCACCCGGTTCAGTCCAAGGCAGCCTGAACGACAGTGCATAAGGAGGGGTGTGCCTTGCGGCTGGACACCTAGGGTCGCTCTTGCGCACCCCACCCCCAGTATGGTCCCCGAACCCGCCTTGAGCACTGCTGGGTGTGGCCCCCAACCAACACCTAGAAGGCAGGCAAGGCTGGAGCGGCAGGCCAGCAAGGAGGGGTCCCTCGCTCCTGGACACCACGGAGCTCGATCCCTGGCATCCCGTATGGTCCCTGAGCAGAGTCAGGAGTCGTTCTGAGCATTGCCAGGTGAGGCCACGAAGATGTGAACCCAGCCCCCACAGCCTCACAGAGGGGCCCACAGACCCCACACGGGGTGTCAGCTCGGGCCACGGGTATGCCACGAAGGAGAGCGCTAGTCCCCGCATCCGGAGAATATGGTTGATGAAGAGGCACCCAGGGGCTTGCTTCCTGAGGTGCCTTGAGGAGGGGGCGTCCAGGCCCCCAGGAGAAATACGCTCCTAGTGTGGCAGCGCCCACAGGGCTGAGGGTTCATGGAAACCACCTGCCTGCCGGCTTCGTGCAGCCCACCCCAGCTCCCCCAGCGCTCAGCCGGAAGTGGCCCCGGCATCTCAAGTTGTAGCATCTCCACCACCCACCCAAGAAATACACACTGAAAGTTAAAGGGGTGAGTGGTAAATTTTGTGAAATATACACAGTTCAGAAAAGCTTGTTGAAGTAGAATGATTCAGCCGAGCTGCAGAGCTGAGGGTCATCACAAAGACCAGCCCAGGGGGTGAGGGAAACAGGGAAGGGGACAGGGCATGGAGGGACGGAGTAGAAGCCTAGAGTGTCCAGGACAGCAGAGGCAGAATCGCACTCAGTATCTGGGTGTGAGAACTCAGACGGGTATGAGTGATCTTCCCCAAGTGTGAGTGTGTGATCTCCACAGGGTGTGAGTGATTTCACCGGTGTGCGTGATCTCCCCTCAGCTGTGAGTGACCTCAGTCGGGTGTGTGTGATCTCCCCTGTGTGCGTGAGCTCAGCTGAGTGTGTGATCTCCGCTAGGTGTGAGTGATCTCAGCCGGGTGTGCGTGATCTCCCCTGGGTGTATGTGATCTCCGCTGGGTGTGAGTTATCTCCAGTGGGTGTGAGTGATCTCCCCCAGTTGTGTGTGATCTTCGCTGGGTGTGAGTGATCTTCGCTGGGTGTGAGTGATCTCCACTGGGTGTGAGTGATCTTCGCTGGGTGTGAGTGATCTCCGCTGGGTGTGACTGATCTCCACTGGGTGTGACTGATCTCCACTCGGTGTGAGTGATCTCCCCCCGGGTGTGTGTGATCTCAACTGGGTATGAGTGATCTCTGCTGGGTGTGAGCGATCTCCCCCGGCTGTGTGTGATTTCAGCTGGGTGTGAGTGATCTCTGCTGGGTGTGAGCGATCTCCCCTGCGTGTATGTGATCTCCGCTGGTTGTGAGTGATCTCCACTGGGTGTGAGTGATCTCTGCTGGGTGTGAGTGATCTTCCCAAGTGTGTGTGATTTCAGCAGGGTGTGAGTGATCTCCGCTGGGTGTGAGTGATTTCTGCTGGGTGTGAGTGATCTCCACTGGGTGTGAGTGATCTCTGCTGAGTGTGAGTGATCTCTTTTGGGTGTGAGTGATCTCAGTCGGGTGTGATCTCCCCTGTGTGTATGTGATCTCCACTGGGTGTAAGTGATCTCCGTGGGGTGTGAGTGATCTCAGGTGGGTATGAATGATCTCAGCCGGGTGTGTGTGATCTCATCTGGGTGTGAGTGATCTCCGTGGGGTGTGAGAGATCTCCGCTGGGTGTGAGTGATCTGTCTGCCCTGCAGAGGGGAGAGGTGAAGGCAGTGCCCAGTGCAGAGGGACCAGATCCCAAGGGTACCTAGTGGGTAGAGCCAGGGTCAGAGATGCCTGAGACAGACATCACCACCAACAGCCCTGAGGGTCTCCAGACCACCTGTGCCCCCAGAACAGCACCTCCATGGCGGCCCAAGGTCTTCTGATCCACCTGTCCTGACCCATGGAACAGGCTCAGCGCTGTTGGGGGCAGGAGAAGGACGTGGGCCCAGCGCATGCTCTCTCTCCCAGGGGGTCTCGGGGCAGGCACTCTCCCCCTGAGTTTGGCGCACTTCTGACGTTGCCCAGAAGTACAAGGTATTGTTAAGCCCGGGACTATGGGTACCCAAGTGGCAAGACGGACAGAGACACGAACACAATAATGCAAAAGCAATAGGAGTTTTATTCCAGCATACTGGGGTCAACTATCTCACCCACAGAGTGGTCTCTTGATAGCAACCCTGACTCCCAAGTGCAAGCAGTTATACAGCGTTTGATTACATAAGCAGTACATGCCTTATTGTTTCAGAAAAATTTTACTTGGTTACTAAACAAAGTAAATAAAAGTGTTTTGGCAAGTGTCTGGGGTGTTTGTTGGACTCTGATGGGCTTGTGGTCGCTGGGTACATTCTCTATGGCTTCTGGCACGCTGTGATTGATTTTGCCCACTTGCCCACTTGCTGGGCCCAGGAACATTCCAGGTGGGTTCAGGTTGGCCAGTTATGCGTTGTTTTATTACTGGGTAACTGAAACTGTTGTAGTTCCCATAACTGAACCTGAGGCCGAGCTGATTTTGCTGATTTCTGCCGCCTGTCATGGCATCAGTTTTGCCCTGACTGTAGCACGTCCACGCCTGGATGGCCAGTGGCCTTCGTCCTCCCTGCCCAGACCTGGGGCCTGTCCTCTTGGCTTGGTGGTTTTGAAGCTCTGGCCCTACGCCAGCCCAGGGCCTGGTACCCATGATCAGGGACCCCTGAGTTCAAAGTGAGCCTTAGGGGAGCAAGAGGGAGGGAGGGAGGGAGGGAGGGAAGAAGGAAGGGAAGGAGAGAGGGAAGCCCAGCTGGGCAGGTGTGGGCCAGAATAGCTATGGGGGGGGCTGTGCAGGGAGGGGGCTGTGGGGTGGGGGGTGTTGTGTTGCTGCGCATCCCCCCTTCTGTTCCTGCTGGCTGACAAGCCCTTCCCGCTGACCCGCCCATCTTGTTTGCCTCCTCGCTGTTCCCGATAGGCAGAGAGGGCCCACGTGCGTGGAGGGTAGCAGGCAGTGGCCGCTGGGAATCTCGTCTCCCTGGCAACCAGCACCCAAGGGGTGTGGGCCAATGCTGAGCTCCCCTGGGCTGGAGCCCCCAGCCCGGCAGGCCCGTCTGCGCCATGTCCTGTCATTAAATGACCCCAAAGCAGCAACACCAAAACAGTGCCCTCGGCCCTCTGCCTTCTGCCCTCTGCCCCTGCCCCTGCACTCTCTAGTCTCGTCCCCTTTGAGCCTGGGTCCAGGTGTATCACGGGCCTCTGGCTCTGGAGCCACCAGCAGCTGTGGCTGGCCAGGTTCTGGGTCCAGGAACCCCATGGGGGTGTCCAGTTGCTGACCTGGGGGTCGGCCACCTGGCTGAGTCCACTCACAACTGTCTCTCTCACTACCTGTCTGTCTCTCATTGTCGCTCACCATCTGTCTCTCACTGTCTCTCTGTCTCTCACCGTCTGTCTCTCACCATCTGTCTGTCTCTCACCGTCTGTCTTTCTCTGTCTCTCACTTTCCGTCTGTCTCCCACTGTCCTCACCATCAGTCTCTTCACCGCTGCCTGTCTGTCTTCTGCAGTGTCGTTAGCCACTAGGCTGGCGCGGGTGTCAGCTCTGACCCAGCGGGCATGGCCTCAGGGAGCCCCTCTGTCTTGCTGCCTGCAGTGGGCGCCCTTGGCGTCCCTGTGCTGTGCCCACAGCGCCACCGGCCCTCTGGCTCCTTCCTCAGTGTCTCCGCTCGCCAGCTCTGGCCCCACTGCCTGACCCAGCCCAGGTGTTGGGCGTCTGACAGACCGGGCCATCCTGGGCCCAAAACAGGGAGTCGGGCAGTGGCTGTCGGGGGGCTCAGCAGGCCCCAGCGAGGACGGGGCGGCGAGGGGAGGGACGGCACCGAGGCACCGACGGCAGCAAACCTGATGCTCAGGGCCCCTGTGGGCTTCACTTTGGTGGCACTGACAGGCCATGAGGCTCCAATCTGCCTCTCCTCGGTGGGGGGAGGGGGGAGGCCTGGCAGGAGGGCCCTGTCCCCCCACATCCCAGTGACTGACCGGGGCAGAACAGATGGAATTGTGGGAACGGCACCTCAGGGGCCCCAGCGCGGCCGGGCCCTCCCTTCCTCTCCGGCTCGGCTCTAAACTGCTGCCACCTTGGTCCTGCTAACCACCCCCCCCCCCCGCAGTCTCCTCAGACCCCCAAAGCTGGGAGCCAGCTACGCTTCAGGCCCCTGGAATATCATGAGATATTGTGAGGTTGACCACTACTAAGTTGTTCTTGATTGGGTTTCAGTCAGACAGTGGTCCAACACCCATCCCTCCACCAGTGTGCATTGCCCACCGCCAATGCCCCCTTTCCCTCCCCCAACCCCCCCAGCCTGCCGCTAAGGCAGGCACTTCTCTCTCTCTCTCCCTGTCTCCCTTCTCTCTCCGCCTCTCTCTTCCTCTATCTCCCCCTCTCTCTCCCTCTCTCTTTCCGTCTCTCTCCCTCTCTCTCCCTTCCTTTCTCCCTCCCTCTCTCTTCCTCTCTCCCCCCTTCCCTCGCTCTTCCTCTCTCTCCCTCTCTCTCCCTTTCTCTCTCCCTCTCTCTGTCTCTCT